AACAAGAGCGGCGACAGTGCGGGGGGAGTGGGGAAAACGAACACAATGGCAACGCCGAAGAACGACTGTGTTGTTCACATTGCTACTAACACTACTTCATTTACCACCACCACCACCACTATTACTATTACCGTTACTACTACCACTACCAGTACCACTACTGCTAAGGCTGCCTTGGACGTTGCGGTTGTTGTTTCTTGCGTGTCTTACCTTTCCCCACTACAACACAGAAGGATGATATGGCCACAAAACGCAAAAAAAAAATAGACATGTACTCGCTAATGATATTGTGGCTTTTCTCTCTCTCTCTCTCTCTCTGAGCCGCGTTTTGACCTTCCGTTTAGATGCTCCTGCGTTTCTTTCCGCTATGCGTATATGTGCATTCGCTGGGGGCCACACAGAACCTCTCTTTATTTCTCTCCTCTTCTTCCTCCACCTCCAACTCCTTCGCCCACCCCCGCCGTGGATCTGTGGTGCAAGATTCACACACCCACGCAAAGAAAGAGAAACACTCACAAGAGATGGCGCAGGACTTTGCCGCGTACGAGGAGGACTACAGCAAGCTGCTGGACCCTGCGGAGCCGCTCGACAGCCGCACACGCGAGTTGTACCGCCTGAAGGAGACGATTCTGAAGTCCTCCGCCGGTGTGCACCTGCTCGCGAAGGCCATCGACACCACCGACTCCGTGCTGCTGCAACACGAGCTGGCGTACAACCTTGGCCAGTGTGGGCTGGAGGAGGCCTGCCCGTTCCTCGAGCGCATCATCCGCAACGCCGATAGGTACAGCATCGTCACGCGCCACGAGGCGATCGAGTCGCTCGGCGCCATCGCCGCCTCGTCAAGCAAGCCGATCCTGCAGGAGTACATGGACGCGGCGCGCGAGCCAGAGGTGGCGATTCGCGAGTCGTGCGAGTTGGCGCTGCAGCGCATCCTCACCCGTGAGGCGAAGGGGGATGCGGCGGTGCAGTCGCCCATGGACTGCCTGTACGTCTCTGTCGACCCCGCGCCCGCCTTTTCGTCGGCGAACACCGACGGCCCCGTGCCAGACACCGTGGAGGAGCTGGAGCGGCTGCTGTGCGACGCGAGTGGCGCCACGTCGCTGTGGCAGCGCTACCAGGCGATGTTCACGCTGCGCAACATCGGCAACTCGGCGGCAGTGGCGGCGCTCGCGCGCGC